AGGCGGGCGGGGGGGGGGGTTGGAATGATGTGGGTAGGAGCGCAGATTAACACATGTTTTGTCACCGCGCGCGTCTTTATCGGGGCATCGCGACTGTACGCGTTGACCCGGAGATCGTTTTACCATCCGTTTACCAGCGTAACGCTAATGCATTTTCTACAGCATTTGAACAATAGTAGAAACAATGTTCACTTCCAAAGTTAAAGCCTGGTTAACAATCTTTGGGGATCATAAAAATAAAGAAACGGTCGCTGTTTCGCTCTTTTCTGCTTCATTCCTGCTTCCCCTCGTGCTTTTAGTCTCACTCTTTGGTTTAATTTAGGACGGGGCTGATCGGCGACACACCAACGTCTCACCTTCTGAGCTTCCCTCCTCGCACAGAGCTCCTGCTTTTCTCTGCCCGGCCGCCAAAGTCTTGTTTGCTTTGCTGTCAGAATTGGTCTGCAGCCGGCTGGGGGCGGCGCGAGACTTCAGCCTCCATTTGTCTGACTCTGTAAGCGTTGTCTTCTCGTCGGACGGTGGCGCGGTTTCATGGCGCGGTTAGCGTTGGCGTGTGAGAAACTGCAGGAACGGGAGGTGAAGAGGCTTTTGATTGTGTTTTAAAAATATGGCCTCTTTTTTGAGCAGATGTGGATTATGACTTGAGGAGACGGCGAGGAGGAGCCAGAGGGAGGTAATTGAGCGTCAGGTCGGCTGGCGGCTCTCGAATGTCCATATATTTTGCCAGCGGCTTTTTCTTCCCAGGGCTTCAGGAAGTCCCTGAATGTCCTTTACGTCATTGTCTGCAGCCCATCAGTCACTCACTGAACGTCTGCCAGCTGCAGCTCAGGACTGTCCGCGCTCACGCAGCCACGAGCCAGTGTGCCGCGTTCTGCCAGAGAAGCTCTACAAAGGTGGACGTCCCATCTGCCCCTGCACGAAGACCTTTAAAAAAGAAACGTTTTTGATTTGCCTGCAACGTGCAACTTCAAACAGAGGTTTTCGGGGGGTTTTTTTGGCAGCGCGCTCTGCCCACCGCTGGCTCCAGCAGATTAGACTCTTTCCATTACGGAGCTAAATAATAGGGGCCCGCAGTAGAACTGGATGGGGCCGTGGTTTATAGGTGCTACCCGGCAGCTTTGGCACGGAGTCCCGCGGCTCTGTGGCTACCGTGGCGGTGAACTCAGGAGGTGGTGCGGCGGTGGAAGAATGGTGGTGTTGGAGGGCTATTTTTGGGACTGAAGGAGGTCTCGGTTTATGGCCTGGTTATCCGGGGCTGCAACGTGTGACGGAAGCATCACACCAACAGAAGGACTGTAAAAAAAAAAACACCAATAAGTCGATGCTTTTCTCTTTGCATTTTCATTAACCCTGTTGCATGATGGGAACTTTTTTTTTAAAAGCCTGATACGGGAGCAGTGTGGCCCGCTAGCTGCCGAGGTGTCGCCTCTGACGGGGCCTCGGCGGGTCCGTGAAACGTGGAGGCCGAATGTGAAGCGGCGCTCCGGCCGTTCCTCTGAAGTCTGGTGCGGTTTCGACGTGGAAATGGACGCTTGGCGGGGAAAACTGGAACCAGACTTGTGTTGCAGCCAGCTGCCCCCCCCCCCCGCCCCTCCTAGAAAAGAAGACTGTAACCCCGCTACATCTGGCCTGGTTTGGCCCGGGCCCCCGCCTGCGTCGCTCCCACATTAATGAGCCCCACAACAGTAATGGCTATCAGGACGCAGCGGAGGGGAGGGGGGGGGGAAGATGTTGTGGCAGGTTGTTCATTAATAATCCGGAGTTTCTGTCATCTTTGTTTGTAGCCTTTGGAAGCTCCCTGAATATTCAACGTGCCGCCTCCGGTTTCTGGTGGTGCGCGGCGCGTTTTTTTTGTTCTTCTTCTGCACAACGCTGCGCGCGCAACGTTTCTGTCAGCGGCTTTCTGCGTGGTTGTATCACAGCGGTGCTCGTGGACTGAGCCCTGCTCTGCTGTCCCGAGAGCTCCAAGCATATAATAAAGATGGAAGGAAGTTTTTTTTTATGTCAGCCCTCTGCGAGGAAGCCGTCGTCTGTAATTATCGCTGCTTTTTCATCCCTCGTGGCAAAACAAATACAGGCTCTTGTGTGACCTGGCATCGCGTCACAGGGGAGCCTTTTTTCTTTCTTTTTTGCCGGCCTGTTTGTGTGTGTTCTTGAGATCTCCATCGCCGCGTTTTTTTTGTTTTTTTTTCCCGAGCATCGAGTGCATTTGAAGTTGCAATGTGGAAGTCATTAGCCACAAATCCCAACCAATGTAATGACAGGGCGATTAACTCTCTCTCTCTCTCTCTCTCTCGGGGATCCTCGTTCTGCCGTCGCCGAAGTGGTGCTTCAAAGTTGTGAGCGTAGGCCCGGGGTCACGGGGCGAGTCTCCCTCCTCCACCTCCCGGACCTTTTCTATTCGTAGATCTGCATATGGATTTCACAGGACACCCCCCTCCCAATCCCCTCCCTCCTGATCCCCTCCCTCCGTCTTTCATGCGGTGGTGGTTCTGTTTCCCGTCACGGGCCTCTGATGAAAAAAAAAAAACGCGAGGAAGCCCCGGCCCGTGTGACGCGAGTGCAGCAGTTGCTCGGTGACCGGGGGGGGAGGGGGTGTGACGTGGGGAGCGGGCCCGCGGCGGCGGTCCCAATCATTAAATGGGCTCTTCGCTTCCTGCAGGATAAGGATGAAACGCTCCCCGTCCACGCCGATCCGAAGGGAAATTGATGTGTGGCTTTCCCCTGAAAGGACCATTCATCTTTAACGACGGCCCCACTTATCTCCGCGTCCCGCGCACATGTGCCACTTCCATATCGCCACCACCCCGCCGCCACCTGGAACGCGCGCCTCCTCCCGGTGGGGGGGGGAACTAAACGCTGCCATATTTACCATCTCGTCCTGGAAGGCTGACTTGGCCGCGGCGTGGCGGGGGAGGTTGCCAGCAGGCGGACTATGTGCTGACGGGCTTCCGCCTCCGTCCTCGGAGGAAAAGTTTGTTGAAGGAGGAGGGGACACATTTGCAAAGTCATTTGGCTCCTTTCTTTTCTTCTCCTGGTGCAGCGTGAGGAGCGGCGCCGCACGCGGCCAGATTCAGTCATCTCGACGCTCGCTCGCTCTTCTGGAGGAGACGACATTTCGAAGGACATAAACCTCATTTGGGATGCGGCCGGCTGCCCTGTCGCTGCCTGATGGTATCCTCTCTGACTGGGGACCTAACAGTCCTGATTGCTTTTGGGGCAGCAGTAACTCATGATTGCACCTCTGCAAAAAACAACAACTCAATAGCGGCTTTTCCATTCTTTCTCACTCCGTGGCTGCCGGCATCCAGAAAAATAGTTAATAATAAATTGTTCACATCTCCTCTGAAAAAACAAATCAAGGAGCGCGTAGCGCTGCGTGTGCCGCCCAGCATCTCCAAAGTCTTCCACGGGTTAATTCAATTTAATTCAATTCAACTCAATTCAATTCAATTCATTTTATTTTTTATTGCCCAAAATCGCAAATTACAAATTTGCCTCAGAGGGCTTTGCAGTCTGTACACATACGACATCCTCTGTCCCGAAACCCACCATCGGCACAGGAAAAACTCCCCAAACAATGAAAAAAACCCTCAGGGGAAGAAACCTCAGGGAGAAGGTCAGAGGAGGGATCCCACTCCCGGGATGGACAGACTACAATGGATGCCATGCGTACAGAACGAACAATGTCAAACACCTGAAACGTGCGTTATGTAACAACGTTGCACCACTCTCGTCCGTCCCTCAGGTGAGGGCGGCGGAGCGCTTTTGTAGCGCCGTCAAGCTGTTTTATCTGATGTGACGGAGTCGTGTTCGGGCCTCAAACACCCGCGACTGGATTCACGACCCGCCGGTCGATGCCGAGGTGGAGTCAATCCCCTGTGAGAGCCATTCAGAGTGGAGAGACAATAGGGAGGCGTATTGAAAGCGGCAACCCGACGCCGTGCAGCTCCCTGCTGCCGTGGATGGCCGACAGGCTCGACTGAACAGCACAGCCGAAAAAAGCTTTAATTAAAAAGCAACTTTTGGCCGCCGCGCAGAGAACAGCTGGGGCCTTTGATTCACTCTGAAAGGAAGCGCAGTTATTGCAGAGGAGGCAGGAGGCCGGGATGCGTGTTTGCGTGCAAGCTAGCCGTTGTAAATATTGCAAAGCATAGTGGAAAATATTGGAAAGCAAATCTCCGAGGGGGGCGTGATGATATGCAGCGATGACCGCCGGTCACCGGCTGACCGCAGGCGTAGCGACGAGTCCCCATGGCGACGGGCCAAACAAGCCCGGCACTGTTCTCTATCTGGGCCGTGTTTGACCGACAGCCATCGAGTGCATTTTGGACGGCGGTAACGTATTACTGCGCACCCTGAAAACCAGCCCTGCAAACCGTTGAATAAACACCGCGAATAGACGGGTGTCTTCCTCTGTTTGCTATTATTATGCTCATATTTTCCAACCTAATGCAATCAGAAGAGGAATTCCGTTGTTACCCCCCCCCCGCGTCCCCCCCCCCGAGGCTGAGAGTGATGAGTGTTGATGCCTCATAATGCTCCCATCAGGCATTGTTTATTTGAATTCCCTCTTTTAGGGGAAGAAAAACCTTCCACCGGCCATTGTTTTGCGCTGGGAAACAGAATCTCTCTCCCTTTCTGATTTGGCCACATGGTTGTCATACACTTCCTGGAAATCAGAGCCATGTTTGCTTTGGTTATATGTCCGTGGGCCATTTTTCTTTCTTCTTCCTCAGTGCTCCTGCGTTGACATTAATTAAAACAACGCAGTGATTGATCTCGCTTCGGCTCGCGCTGCTGGCTCTGACATGAATTGAGCGCGGGCGAAGAATCCGACTGTTCCGTCCAAACTCGGCCCAAGACGCATTAAAACATTTAAATCGGCACGAGGGTCTTTCACTGAATCCAGATTCTCAATAAAGCCGCTGACTTTCACTCGCGCGCGTTTCAAACCATCTGGACGGACTTCTAACCCGCCGTCGCTCTTCTCTCTCCAGAGTGTTACACCGCCAACGGAGAGGACTACAGGGGCTTCCAGAACCAGACCGGCCTGCGGGCCGGGAAGCCGTGCCTCTTCTGGAATGAGACCTTCCAGCACCCTTACAACACCCTCAAGTACCCCAACGGAGAGGGCGGCTTGGGCAGCCACAACTACTGCAGGTGAGTCCCGCCTACCTGTTTCCACGAAGAGGTAAAGCTAAGCTAAGCTAAATCAGACCCTGAAGGTCTGCTTGAATGTTAAAGATGTAATATATAAATGTGACAGTTTGAAGTAAAGATTATACAAACAAAACAGAACAGATATCTAGTGTGTGTACTGTGCACTGTACGTTTGTTAGATATATTCCGCCATATTGTACTTTCTTTTTTATGAATTCTCCACAGGACATTTTATAAAGAGGGCGTAGGATTAAACTGTGCTCATGTGGTTCCTGAAAGGTTCCCCTTACTGGCCTGGAGATGAAGCTTAGGAGGAAAGTTCCATATTATTCTGCAAGCTTTCCACTCATTTCAACGCCCTGCATTTCAACTATGTTTCATCTCTCCGCACCGGGGGAACAACCGCTCCCCTGTTTCTGTTTTATTGTTGTTGTTACCTAAAGCAATCTCCTTTTGTGCCGAGAATCCATCAAGCAGCAGCGATTCACAGTGTAAAGCTGACGGTCTTATTCGCGGCTTTGACAACCGGGAGTCATGTTATTGATGTCAAACATCAGCACCTTTTAAACCTCTTCCCAGACACGAGGCACTCGGCTTTATTAATCGTTTTTGGCTTCATCGCGGGGGAGGGAAGGCGGGGGGGGGGACCTGCTCAGACATTTGCCACTGAATATTTCATTGGTTCCATCGTTTGTGAGTTTGTGTCGACTGACCTCGTGTGTCGTGACTCAGTTCCCAATTGTGCCAAGCCGTAAGAAACAGAACCCAACCATCCTCCTCCTCCTCCTCCTCCTCCTCCTCGGCCCTTAATGCCTCTGAACTTTTCTCCAGCTCATGGTTGTAAACTCATAACGCAGCAATGCTTTGAAGTGGCACTGGGCGGATTTCTGCTCACTTCAACTGGATGTGAATCGTGAGGATTTATGAGTCGGAAACATCGAGGCTTCCACGTCCAACGGGCCGATCCCAAGCCGTCCAGCCCCTCCGTCCAATCGGAGGGGCTGCAGGGGCCAAAGTGACCACTTCGCTGACGAAGGGGGACGGCATTCAGTCCAAGTCCACGTGTTTGTGCGCGCTTCTGTCCGCGTGCACGCGCGCGCGCCCGTCCCTGCAGAGGAAAGGATGAGTCTAGATTTCTTTTCGACAGAAAGGGGGACGACGGGACGTCAATTTGTGCTGCACATCTCCTCATTTGCATGAAGGGCAGCCGGCTGTTGACGCGCTCTCTTTCTTTAACCTTCAAACCGCTTCTCGTCTTCCTGCGTCCGTCTCTCACGTTACGCTTCAATCAGACATTCCGGTCCCAAACACCAAAAGGCGGTAAGTCATGGACAAAAGGAGGGTGGTGGTGGGGGGGGGGAATCAAAAGGAAAACCAGAGAGACACAGTGCGGTTTTGACCCCCGAGGCCGATTGGGGGTTTATGAGCAGAGAGCTAAGGCCAAAGCGCAGGTGGACGATGTGAAGCCGCGCGTCTCGGCCTCTTAACGCGGCTACGAGCCAGATGTTGAGAAGCGGAGGACATCGGACTCTCTTCTTGACCCGTCACTCGTGGGTTTTTTTTTTTTTTTTTGCGAGTCGGTCGAGAGAACACGAGGAAAGACCCCTAAAAGCCCCCCGCAATTCATCTTTACAGCCCGCCATAAAAGAAATAAAAGAAAACGGTTAAAGTCGGGAGAAAACGGAGCAGAGGGGGGGGGGGGGGAATGTCACATTGTTCTCCGGCGAAAGAAAAGGAGCTTTGAGCGAAAGGACAACAGCTCTTGTGTCCAAACCGAGACTCATTTCAATGAAGAAGATTTCGTGTAGCGGAAAGCAAACGATCCGCTCGGCAGTCTGGGATTGAGCTCAAGTACCTTTTTGACCTTTTCTAAATACTTCATGACATTCACGAGGAGAACGTCGCGCACACACACTGAAGTACTGGTATATATTCTCCTTTATTGTTCCAAACAAACTACTGCCCCACTGCCCCCCACACCCGCCCCGGTGCATTAGTATGAGGGTGTGGAGTGACGGTTCAGTGGGTGGTTGAATGGCTTTGCCAGCCATTTCCCAGCTATTTATATGCAGGTGTGTGTGTGTGTGTGTGTGTGTGTGTGTGTGTGCTGTATAATTTATGAGCGTCCACCGGGGTTTCTAATGCTTTTCCCTTCATAGATGAGATAATGGAAATGCCAGAGTGAGTAGTGTTTCCCCGGGTTGATTGTAATTGAATCTCCATTATGTCAGGTGCGTATCTGAGTTCGGGGGGCAAACTGCAGAAAAGCGGTTCACCGCTTTCGTGCGACTTTCGTTGCGTTCGCCGCCGCGCAGGCTTAGTTAAATTGAGGGAAATAGAATAGAAGTGTCCCGAAAGCATCAAGCCAACATTATGCTCATCCCGGCGTTCAGTCCGCCCCGGCAGAGTTTAAGCAGCAGAAGAGCGAGGAGCGGGGCGGGCAGGTGTTCCCAAAATAGCCCCCCCCCCCCCCGTCTCGTTTGAGGTGCTCGGAGGAGTTAATGTCATCTTTTCCACTCAGCCCATGAAAGAATCCGGTGTCTTCTCCACATCTCAGGCGCGTCGTTCCTCTCAGGGACACGCCGTGTAACATCACAGCCTCGTATCTGTATGTACAGACATACATGTACAGGCATACATGTACAGGCATACATGCACAGGCATACATGTACAGGCATACATGTACAGGCATACATGTACAGGCATACATGCACAGGCATACATGTACAGGCATACATGTACAGGCATACATGCACAGGCATACATGTACAGGCATACATGCACAGGCATACATGTACAGGCATACATGTACAGGCATACATGCACAGACATACATGCACAGGCATACATGTACAGACATACATGTACAGGCATACATGTACAGACATACATGTACAGGCATACATGCACCGGCATACATGCACAGGCATACATGTACAGGCATACATGCACAGGCATACATGTACAGACGTACAGGCATACATGCACAGACATACATGTATAGACATACATGCTCAGGCATACATGTACAGGCATACATGTACAGGCATACATGTCGGCCCTCTTCTTTAATACACGCGATCGTGCAGCACAGCGGCAGGCAGCACTTTGAAAGCTAAATAATCCAATTAAAAAGTCTTCTCTCGGGGCAGTAAATTAGCAGCCTCCGATCTGCCGTTGACCCCAAATCACGACCCGGACGAGCTTTTCACCGACACTCTCCCCCCCCTCCGATTGGGCGAAATCAGATTTCATCGAGGTTTTGCTTTCGCTACTAATTTTTCGACAGATGTTTTTGTATCTGACAACCGGCACATCTTCCTAGAAGTGGTGCGGCATTGAGGAAGAACGCCGCGGCTGCTTAACGGGCTGCGATGTCACCGCTCCAGGCCCCGCTCCGCGCGGCGTCCGTGTCCGTCCACTCGGAGGCTTTTGGCAAGCGTCTCATGACATTACGGAAAAGGCCGCTGCGACGTTGTACCTTCCGCCCGATCCGCGCCTCAGAGGCCTCGTTCTAAATATTCCAGCCCTCAATAAAAAGTTAGAATTTAACCAAACAAAAGTCCCTCTTGAATCTCACTTAAAGTTCCACTGATGAAAAAGCAACAATAGGCATTTTATTCGCAGCCTTCGCACACGTAGTTTGATAGAAATGATTGTTGAGATTTTTATAGGTCGTTTGTCGGTGCCGGGCCCTTTTTTTTTTTTTTTTTTTTTTAAAGGTGACTATGAATTTCCTGGTTAGAGTGCGTGGAAAATAGTTGTTAAAGGAAACCTCTTGAGCAGCAGCCAGCCAGGAACAGCTGTTTTCCCTCTGTGTTCAGATGTAACCTCTTGCCTCCGAGCGCGGGACGGCGCACAGAGCCCGCGAGGCCCGAGGCGCCGTGGCTGTATATTCCCGCCTCCCCGCCCCACCCCCCCACCCACCGGACCAAAGTGTGCGGCTCACTCCGAGCAAAAAGACGCATAATTGTGCCAATTAAGTGTCCAAACGTCTCTGGGCACGAGAGCGTTTCAACAAGCGTTTCCTCGGGGGCGCCTGATTGGCCGGCCGGGCCGTCTCTGACGCACATGGACGCGAATGCAAACCCCGCCCCCTCCTCGCCCTCAAGAGGAGGAACTGTGACACACAAACAAGCGCACGCGCACATCTACACACGCTGCCAGCGGCCCGGGTGTCGCCACGTGGGGCCGAAGTCTTCCTCTGTGCTGCTCCGGGTTAAACTAATGGATTTCCCTCCATCGACGGCTGCTCTTATCTGCACTGCTGCACCTCAGTTATTTTGACACTCTCTGCTTCCCCCCCCCGTCCCTCACACACACACACACACACACACACACACACCTACACACGGACACACACACACTGGCACCTCGGGCAGGATTGATTATGTCTCTCTGTCATGTGGTGCTGGCCTATTCACCTCAGGACCTGCGGGTGAAGTTCCCATGCTTCCACTAATGGGTGTGTGTAGGTGTGCGCGTGCAGGTGTGGGTCTGTGCGAGGGTGGAAAAAAAAAAAAACACCCTTTGGGGTTCGAGGAGTTTTGGATCAAAATCTGAGGAAAGGTGTAGCAAATTACGGAAGCGGCTCCAGATGAGATGTTGGGAGTCTCGTTTCCACGCGATGGATGCCAGAAGGAGAAAGAGGGACTCCGCGTCCCGGTGGTTGCACCTCGGTGGTTTTGCCCTCTTTAGTTCAGCAGGATCCTCGGGGGCCAGACAAACAGGTGTCTGCCTCCAAATAACAGAAGATAAGGTTTCAAAATGTACCGGAAAACACGGTGTCCTGTTAACACGCGGACATTTGACACCGAGGTTTGTTTCGATTCGGCACGTCGCTAGAATGCAGAACAAATACAGATGAGCACTTTCCAATCGACCGCCGACAACTGAGAAGAAGAGGATACGGTTTGCAGGACATCCAAAGTGCAGTGAAAAGGGTTTGAGGCACTTAAACTTGAGTTCAACCCTAGGAAAAAAAAAGAAGCTTTGTGAACCCCTCATTCTGTGTGTGAACAGAGAGCAGGAAACTCGGCGTAGTGTTTTTGATAGGAGAAGAAAAGAAATGGCAACGCCCTTCACAACCCGGCTCACAAAAGGCGTAAGGGGATAGTGCAGCGCTGCGGGGCCTTTTCGAGACGCTACAATGCGCCGTGTCAGAAGAGAAGAGAAAAGGTCTCCGGCGTTGGGAGAAACAACAAAAAGAGCAGAGTCATCTTCAACAGGGTTGAGTTAGTCGACGTGGCGTGAACCTACAGTTCACTCTTAATGCCGAAGCAGATCCGACGGAGCTGAAAAGGCCCCCAGACGAGCTTCCAACTGCAGACTCGCTGCTTTGAAATCATTCATCGGCGGTTTGACCGAGAGGGCCACGATAGGAAGCCCGCACGAGGCTTTTTTGAGGCCTTTCCCTCGTCTCTCCCCCCGCTCCCCCCCCGTGGCTGAAGTTCGAAGGCGACCGAGGGGGCCTGTTGGCCTCATTATGGCTGGTCAAAAGTGCCTCCATGATGTTCAAACGAGGCCAGAGCCTCAGACAAAGCCCGCCGCCCCGTGTCTGACCAGAACAAGGGGCCTTACCCCCCCCCCACCCCTCCGACCTCCAGCCAGCCAGTCGGTCTGGCCCTTGACTGACGTGGCCAACCCCTCAGAGCATGAAGACAATCCCCCTCAGATATTATTGTGTATTCAGCCCCCCTCTGCAGAGAGGCTGTGAGTTGGTCTTTGTGTTTTATTTATTTAGTCCCCCCCCCCCTTTTCATCCCCAGCTCACCTCTGAGACGGACAGGTGAGAAAACGCTGATGTGCCTCCACGTCACACTTGAGACCCTTAAAATAACGAGACGTGCGATTAAAATAATCTCTAAATAGAAGACGGGGCAAGAGAAAAGGGAAAATCAAAAGATATGAAGCTAGAATGACGGTATTTGGTTGTATCCTCTCTGTAGTAAGTTTTTGAAAAGCTAAATATTCGGGTCCGAAACCAACTCGGCAAAAAAATGGTACGTTACCACCTATTATAACCAGTCTGACTTCTACACCCCTCCGTGTCTGCAGGAACCCCGACGGGGACGTCCAGCCGTGGTGCTACATCGCGGACCACGAGGACGGGATCTACTGGAGATACTGCGACATCCCCACATGCCAGAGTAAGGCTCCGTTCTGCCCGCCGCCGCCGCCGCCGCCGCCGCCGTTCACTGCTGTTATCATGTAAAAAACATGCCTCTTAATTGCCGGCCGTCCTCCGGCGATGCCTGGGCCCGCCCTCGCTTCAATGCGAGCTGTCGATCACTCTGCGTACCTGTCTTTTTGTGTTTGAAAGTTCCCCCTTCCAGCTTCTTACCTTGTTTTGACAGGTTTGTATGTTTTTCTGTGTGCGTATCTGCATGTACCTGTTTGTGCGTTCGACTGATTCCCGCCAGAGATTCTTTCCTGGACGGACATGTGAGAGTTTATGTCTCCTCCACCGGTTTGGCACACACTTACAGTCTTTAATCCGCTGACTTTCATCCCCTGCACCTCTTTAACCGCTCCCGCTGAAAGCCGACTCAGGTGGATCCACCTACAACAGCGTTTGATGACAGAGATCGGAATTCCCGCGGTGGCGGTTCAGATGCAGCGATTTGCCGCGAGCTTTTTCCAAAGTGTACGTGACACATGTTGATATTTCCAAGGCAACCAAACGCTGTATCAACAATTCCCACATTGTACTCACTTTGCATGGCAGGTTGGGTCAAAGGGCCCTCGCGCACTTTGTGTAACTGAAAGAAAACTTTGACTGAACGCGATAGAAGAGATGAATGAAAGTGACAAACATTTAATTGTGAAATACCAGTTAAGTTAAACAACCACCTTTTATCTACCTCTTAATACATCTTTTCATTCAAAAGAGATGTATATATTTTCAGTGTTGAAGGAATTTTGTGATACTACAACAGATAAAGGCTTTTAAAAGACGCTTAAAGCCTAAAAGATACGACGCAGCACGAGTCTGACCTCGGGTATCAGGCGGCAGAGGAGGGACGCCGAGACTTGGAGGGATGTTGTGGCTTTTCTCTGCACTCGGTAGAACCGTGAGCCCTGGAGCGACGCCACCATTCTGACTGGAGCCGTCTGAATGGCTCGCGTGATCCCGTGTGAAGGAGCCCCGGCGTGCGTCCCATTAGACTTTTGACTGACCTCTTTCAGACCACTTGTCCATTTAGCTCATTCTTTTCTCGGCTGGTATCTTGGAACCTTTGTGGTGTGGGAGGAGAGAGGAGAGCCGCCCCCTGTAAGCAGTCGGGCTCGTCCCTTGTCTCTGGTGGAATCAGGCCAGCTTTTGTCGCCGGACGGCTTTGCCACATGCTGGTTCAGCCTCGTTTTTCAAGCGTGTGACTCGTGCGGCCCCGGCTGTCCGAGGCTCTCGAAAGCGGAGGCGAGCTTTCGCTGTGAGTCTCTCTCTGCAGGGACGCCGGCGAGCTTCCCGCCACGGATGCTCCGTCTCATCTGTCTTGGGAACCACAGCGGCGGCGTGTCGGAGGAAGGGCAACCGTGCCCTTTGTTTTCATTTTGTCTGGCTTTTTGTTTGGTCTGGACCGTCTTCTTGTCTGCTTCTTTTTCTTTGCTTACGTTGGACGTCGCGTGGTCGGTAGTCGGCGGCCGAGGCACCTGGAGCCCGTTGTCCAGCTGGGTTTCCCGAACATCTGACCTCACGTGACCCCGGCGAGCGTTGCACCGCCAACCGGGTCACACGAGGCCAGAAACACATAGTTGGACAGGGTCGATTAAAGCACTTCAAAAAGGCGCGACTTGAATTTCTACGGCGTGTCACGGGGGCCTCGAGGCCCTGCGTGTTCCCGAACCACTAAAGTACAGAAGCAAAACTTTATTTGTGTGGAATCCCGTTTTCTCTGTGCTATTATTTCATCAAACCGCTGTACGGCAGCGCAGAGAGTCTTCCGGGGTGTGAAGGGTTTATTGGTGGAACCGAGCGTTCTCGTCACAAAGTGAAGGCTGAGTTTGATTGACGCAGAGTGAAGCTGTGCGGGCGAAGGCCAAGACAAAGGCGCTTTGATCCGCGCGCCCAGGGCTCATCTGGGAACAGCAAACTGTGAAGCCAAGACAAACCCGTTGTTCCGCTGTCTTTGCCCGCAACGAAAAAAACATGTTAGGCTTTAGCCCATTTCAGCTTCCACCTCTAAGGTTGCAGGAATTAAGTGTGCATTTTTAAAAGGGACATTTCATTGGTGCTTTTCACCCAGATGCTAAGATGCATTACTTTCTGTAATAAAATGTATTTTTTATTTGAAAATGTTCCATGACACTTCTACTTATTTTATACATATACATACATACATACATACATACATACATATTTAAGTAATATAAAATGTAACTCATTCTGTAAAAAAGAATGTCGATAATATAAAGTGTATTCTTACGTAAATCTTTGACATTGTTTCAGTTTTTGCAGATTTTGGGGAATCTGAACCGCAGGTAGAGACAACACGCCTCAAGAATAACCAATAAAATAATATCAATAACCAATTGAAATAGCTGACGGTCTTTACATACGTAGATCATATAGAGCAGTGGTCCCCAACCACCGGGCCGCAGACCGCTACCGGTCCGTGGGCCGTTTGGTACCGGGCCGCACCACAGAAAGCTTATATATATTTTTTTCTGAAAAATGTTTTATTTTGAAAATTGACCGGCTTTCCTACTAATTATATGCGCTCGTCCCTCTGACATATTCCCCTCGCGTCACCAGGCGTTTTTCTTCACGCTTACAATTGTCCTCTTACCGTGACATGAAAACGGTCCGTGAGGTAAAAAAAAGGTTGGGGACCACGGATATTAGTGAGTATTCATGATTACATCCTCACTGTTTTATAACCAGTTAAAAAGTACACAGTAACTCCAAGCAACATTAATTAACTTTTTCAGAAAACTGAGATCAATTACTACTTAAGTAAAATATTTTTCCACCACCTAATAAAGTTAGGACGATTAACGAGAAAGAAAAATCAATATATCCCATGAGAATATATCTTCTATTTATAGAAAGTACATAATTAGCAAGCTACTACGCAGTATTTTAAGGTGCGTCTTTGTTCGCGCCTGAAGTTTTAATTGGACTCGATAACTTGAATACCTCTGTTAAAGTTGACTGTACTTGAAAATATCCAAGTGAGGGAACATGTGATTAACCGTGTCTGTCACCGTGGAACAATAGTCTTACTACCGGAGGCACCGCATCCATCTGGCAAGCTAAACAGCCCCACCTTGAAGACATTAGAACAAAGTGGTTACGTGTTTGGCCCACGGTTTTATTGCCAAGCGCTGAGGAAAATATGCAGTGATGAGCTATTGCCTTCATTAAGATTGATGTATGAGACGCTAAATGGCCCTTTTGAAGTCGTGAGACACTGGAGAAGGCCGCCAGCTCGAATGAATCGGACCGGAGATCCACGTCCAAGCAGCTAGAAACAGACTCCGTGGTTTTCACAGGTCTTGTTTTTGTTTTTTGTGCTTGTTAAATGTGAAGTTTTATGAAGTAAAAAGGAAAAATACCACCACTTTTTTGAAGAACAGAGGATTTGCTGGGCTAGAGAACACACAGAGAGCCTGAAACAGTCCAGGTAGCAGGTCGGCTGTCAAAATAGGGCTGTAATTAAGACTGATTTCTGATGTCTCGTCAAATGTCCTCTCAACTGTTGACAGATCGCCATGAAATGTGGTGCAGACATCATGCGCGGCCCCCAGGAGAAGAAGAATCCCAAAGTGATCCCCCTTGGAGTGCTCACGGGTCAATTTATGTCCAGGGTGTTTTTATTCTTGATGCATTTCTTGAGTTATTACACGATCGCCAAATGATTAAAGGTGTCTGCAACAAGCCACGACCGCGTTGACTGATAACTGTGTTCCAGGAATATGTAATTACGGTTCAGAGACAAGAAGGAGTCTGAGAGGTGTCGAGACCAGACAGGAGCAAAAATCGGGGGAACGTTCAAGACAGAAATTGGAAATAAACACGCCGAGGCATGTAAAAATATTACTCCCCGTCCCAAAATATGACGTAACGTGGATAAGGTTGATGGGTCAAAAATCCTCTTCGAGCTCACTCAACTGTCATCAGAGACATGGCACAATATTTCCCCCCCCGAAGAGGTCGCGCACCAGCTTTACCCACAGTCACTGAGAGGAGAGAAGATTTAGATCGAGACCTTCAAGGCGAATGAGTGAATAAAAGACAAATCTCAGATTCGCAGATTCAGGCCAAAGCGAATCGTTGCCTTGCAGAACAGGCTGTGGAGCTTTTAACCCACTCATTGTTATTCTGCTCTGCTCTGTGACCTCTGACTCCCTCGTGGCTCCACCCTCACCTGCCCTCGGGGGGGAAATACCTGTCTGCAGTGACGTGAGGGAACCTCCAGTCAGAAATTAGAGAGTAGAAACTCTTTTTACGAAAACAAGCCGCTGGGACGTCAAGTAGATTTAATCTCTCAGGCGTCTCTCTGGCTCCTTCCAGAGTTAAACCGGCCCGGGGGCCATTAGGGAATTAAATGTATTGATTATGAGGCGAGCCTGTTGTGTAGCATGTTTGCTAATGAGAACAAGGAGATGGCCAGTGTCTAGCACTTGTCTTGGAAAAGAGGAGATGAATAGCTCTCAGGAATGAGGGCTCGGAGCCAAATGCAGACCAGCAGGTGCAATAAAAGTCCTTGTTTTATTGGACATTGTTGAGCTAGTCTCAGTCAGGCTCACGGCGCGTGGCGTGCTCGTGTGTGTGTTGGGAATGTCTTAGCACGCTTTTTAAATATGGAAATTAGCGCGCTGTGAGCTAAATGCTAACATCAGCCTGCTAGCGTTCTCCCACTGACAACTGCTAACATTGCTGATGTTGACCTTTTTTAAAAATGTATCTTTTTGTGATAAGCTAAAGCTAACGTTAGCTAACTACCTAGCTAGCAAAACATGCCTGTTTTCCAGCATCAATGATCACGTTAGCCGGGTGATGTAACAGTAAAGTGTGCGGTATTTTTGAGAACAATATCGTAGCTCCAACCGCTCACCTTCGCTCCCAACGTTAACAACTGTTGGATAGACCGCCGTGACATTTTCTGACCACGTTCCTGATCTCCAGAGGAAATCCCTCTCTGGGATG